TTTCAGCTCATAAGCCAAGTTTTTGGTTGTGTTTTCTACTTGCGCAATATCTCAATGTTTTGTGGGCTACAAGGGGGTCATCAATCTAATGCACAAAATATATATATAACGGCCCTCAGAGACGTTTAAATTATATAAAACCAAAGATTTAAAAAATCCGTACCTTATGTGTTTATTTTGAAAAGCTGAACTGGAAAAAAGCTCTCTTATTCCACGTTCCGGTCACTTGAATTGTGCATTTCTTCATACGACCAGTAGATGGCAATCATTTCTATAGTTTTAGTGCATCAATAACACCGAGGCCAGTGGTTTAAAGTGTTACCGTGATTATCAAGATTTCCATCAATAGGCTTCCTTCTCATCAGGACACACACACTTATACAACTCCTACTGCAGATTTTACGGTTATTCAACAATACCGCCTACAGTGACAATAGGAGCGACCCCCCCCCCAAGCTGTAAAGCATTACGGTATATGCGCAAGTAGACAGTAGTTCATCTGATTATCTCACAAATCATAAACATCAAACCTTATGACCTGAAATCACCCACAATTGAACTTTGAAAAGACACAGAATGGCCTGTCTACTGCTCCACATCACGTCACCGGCTACTTCTTGAGACTGGAGTGAATGAATAAAAAGGTGAAGGTGTAGAATGACAGAGGCCGCCAACAAAAACCAAGAAGGAGGAAATGAACTGACAGCATGAGTCACTTCATATGATTACTTTTCAATGCACCCGTCATTTCTGCGCCTGCCGCTCAAGCCAATACCAAACCCTAATGGCCAGCCGGGGAACGGCCAAAACAAAGACGCATCTATGGGCAATGATTGGACCTTGGGACAATTAAAGCATTCTCTGGTAAGTCCAAACAAGTGAGACATTTCTTTTGCACCTGGCAACGGACTAAAGCATTTGGTCTCTGCTTCAAATTTCAGGTTAATAAATCATGGCGAGGAGAGGCTTGTTAAATTGAACTTTATATAGCTTCTGTGTAAAGGTCAGCCCAGTTCTTTTTGGAGTTAACTCAAAGATTCGACTTTCCATCTCATAAAGTTGCATATAATAGCACGCATATATCTACGCATCCGTACACCCGTGCAAAAATTTGGTCAAGGTGATACTTTTTAATCATTTCTTCACCTGGATTGGGCAGCCATTTGTACATGCCTGCTCTGGACTACAGTGAGTCAGATGAAATTCCCACAGCAGCTAATGATAGACTTTCCATTCTTTCGGCCTTGTTTGACAGATTTGAATGTCATTAAGCGGCGGCCATGCTGAGACCGTCCAGATGTTGTCGCAGAGTGGTGTGAGGGGATGATGAAAAGTTTGCTTCAGCACCCACTTGTTGGAAACTTTGACGTTTAGAGCTAGTAACAGGTTGTTTTTTTAATGAATCTGAGGCTATTTTATGTTTTTATAGCTTGGCCACTTAAAGGTACACTATTTGGTTTACTTTGGGACTGTGATTAAATGGTCAAAGCAGAAGTAGCAGTGCAGTAGTAAAGTAAAGTGCTTTTTTACGTCAATCACAGGCTGCTTTTATCTTCTCTTCCCTTCATTGATTCTGAATCTGAAAAAAAATGGTATTGTCAATTCTTGAATCAATTCAACCGCACCTATGCTCATCAAGGTATTCTGTGTTACATTTATGCATGTCATTCTATTACATTTAAACAATACATACATTTATGAGAACATCTTTTTTCCCACTGCCATTTGGCCCCTTAATCAATCCCTATATGTTTTCGTGCCCTTTTTGTTTTGCCCAGTGATGTAGCCAGTTATGGTGCAGCGGAAAGACATCCAAAATGGTATTGAGTTTTTTATTACTTAAAATGTTGTATTATGACAACACAATACAATGTAATCCGGCTGATTCCCTTGAGCAAAATTATAACAAACCATTGAGTGAGTTAAGTCTGGCTCATTTCTGGTAGATGATGATGTCTGGTGTATAACTGGTTAGTTGTTGGGTCTGTATTTATTCACAATAATATAGTAGAATTATGTTGTTATAAAACTGTTTCTTAATTAGATATGGTGTTTTTGCATGTGCTCTATATTAGCTTTGACCTTAAAGGGGACATATCATGAAAAATCCACTTTTTGTGTCTTAAATGCCTTATGTTGTGTAGTTGGAGTCTCTAGAAGTGCAAAAAAGTTGAAATCAGTCTCTTCATGGGTTGCAGAGAACACTTCATATTCTGTTTAGGTAAGATTTTTCAACCCGTTCTGATTTTGCCATTCTCTATTACGTGTTTGGAATTATTACGTCACAGTTTTTGCAGCGAGACTGCTATATAAGGGCATGGGCGTCTAACAAAACACTTCGGCCCAGCCCTCCTCTTCTGTGCATCACTTCGAATTTGTAGTCCAAGCTCAAGGATGCCAGCGAACAGGGCTGGACTGGCCATCGGGCGTACCGGGCAATGCCCAAAGGGCGATGCCCATATTTGGGCCGGTCTGTCTGCCTCATACAAAACACATGTTTATGAGAAGTGTAAATCCGTTGAGAATTGTTCGAGCGGGGCGCCCTTATCCGCGGGGCACCTGCTGTATGCACTCGAACGGGATTCCGCCACCTCAGCGGCCGCAGTGTTCCGGGGCATCTGCGGCCGCTTTGTAATGCGGCTGCGAGAGGCTGTGAGCATCCAGCCGCTCGCAGCCGCTCCACCGTGTTGTGGCTGAGCGCGCAGCCTCAACGTGGCCATGTACCCAACCCTATAAACGCGCAGACGACCATGCGTGTCTTTGAGTAATCTGTGCAACCAATAAATACACTGCTGCAGGAAACAGTCCGCGTCTCCCCTCTCCTCTCGAAGCGCGATTAAACACCCTAAATAGAGCTCTGATACCTAAATTTTGCATTGCATTAAAAGTTCATGTTTGAGCCCAAAAGTAATATGTTGTGAACAAATTAAACAGATTTAGAGCCAGCTAATGGCTGACAATATGCATCTTCAGTTTTTTTTGACCAATTCTCATCCCTGTAACAAACAATAGTGTTGTCCTGTGTCCACCTCCCTCACTCTGAGACATGTTTGATTACCCTCTGTTTAATGATAGACTATTGCATTTTTATTTTATTGTTGCACATATCCTGATCCTCTACAGTATTTGCTTCCACATACTGTATAAACCTAGGAGTCGGCAACCTGCGGCTCCGGAGGCGCATGCGTCTCTTTCCTTCTGTAGAAGGAAAAACGTTCTTAACGTTTTTAAATGCTGTAAAATTGTGCATAAGTAATATTCAATTTAAAGATTTCTGTAAAAGTAGTGCGTCATTCCTGCGACGTAGGCCAGCGCCACGTGGCCGCTGCTTGTGTACAAGTCGCTCCATGCCTCGCTCCCAAAATATATTAGTGGACTTGTTAGTACCCCTACGAACCAGCCCGGACTCTGAGGAGGCACAGGGACTGGGACTCCTGAAGGGACTCTGAGGAGCACAGGGACTGGACGCCTGCTGGGTCTCTGAGGAGCACTGGGACTGGACTCCTGCTTGGGACGCTGAGGAGCACCAGGGAAACTGGGACTCCAGCTGCTGGACCTCCTGAGGAGCACATGGGAACTGGACTCTGTGGGGACTCTGAGGAGCACAGGGACTGGACTCCTGCTGGGACTTGAGGAGCACAGGGACTGGACGCCTGCGGGGACTCTGAGGGAGCACAGGGACTGGACTCCAGCTGGGAGCCTCTGAGGAGCCAGGGACTGGACTTCTGCTGGGACTCTGAGGAGCACAGGGGACTGGACTCCTGCTGGGACCCTAGAGGAGCCAGGGGGACTGGACTCCTGTTAGTACCCAGAGTCAGACTAAACATGGGGAGGCTGCTTTTCAGATTCATGCTGCTAAAATCTGGAACAGTCTTCCTGAAGATGTGAGACAGGCCTCCTCTCTGACAATGTTTAAAACCAGGTTAGAAACAGTTCTGTTTAGCTGTGCATGACAAACTGAGGGATTTTATATTTTTATCTTTCTTTTTAATGTTCTGTGATTATTTATGATTTTAATGCTTTCTTATTTTGTTCAGCACTTTGAGTGTGGGCGGCACGGTGGCTGAGTTGCACTCTCGCCTTACCTTGGTATGAATTGTGCTATACAAATAAACTTGCCTTTCCTTGCCTTGACTGTGCGCATGGATCCCAAAGCTAAAAAGAGAAGAGTCGATAATAAGACTGGACTAAGAATGAAACTTAACATTTGCTTTCAGTCAATGAGGAAGGACTGCTTCATGTTTGCGATGTA